GCAGAAATATTCAACAAAATACTAGCAAACTGAATCTAGCAGCACATCAAAAACTAATCCACCATGATCAAGTAGGCTTTATTCCTGGGATGCAAAGTTGGTTCAACATATGCAGAACTAAAACAGAACTAAAACTAAAAATAAAAACCACATGATCATCTCAATAGATACAGATAAGGCTTTTGATAAAATTCAAATCCCTTCATGTTAAAAACCCTCAAAAAACTAAGCATTGAAGGAACATACCTCAAGATAATAAGAGCCATCTATGACAAACCCATAGCCAATATCATACTGAATGGGCAAAAGCTGGAAATGCCCTGGAGAACTGGAACAAGACAAGGATGCCCACTATCACCACTCTTATTCAACATAGTACTGGAAGTCCTAACCAGAGCAACCAGGCAAGAGAAAGAGATAAAAGGCATCCAAATGGGAAGAGAGGAAGTCAAACTATCTCTGTTTGTAGACAATATGATTCCATACCTAGAAAACCCTATAGTCTCTGCCCAAAGGCTCCCAGATCTGATAAACAACTTCAGCAAAATTTCAGGATTAAAAAAATCAATGTACAAAAATCAGCAGCATTTCTATACACCAATGAAATCCAAGCTGAGAGTCAAATCAAGAATGAATCCCATTCTCAATAGCCACAAAAAGATTAAAATATCTAAGGATACATCTAACCAGGCATGTGAAAGCTCTCTACAAAACAAATTATTTTTTTTTAATTCTTTTTTTTTTTTTTTTTGAGACGGAGTCTCGCTCCGTCGCCCAGGCTGGAGTGCAGTGGCGCGTTCTGGGCTCACTGCAAGCTCCGCCTCCCGGGTTCACGCCATTCTCCTGCCTCAGCCTCCCTAGTAGCTGGGACTACAGGCGCCCGCCACCTCACCCGGCTAGTTTTTTGTATTATTTTTGGTAGAGACGGGGTTTCACTGTGTTAGCCAGGAAGGTCTCGATCTCCTGACCTCGTGATCCGCCCATCTCGGCCTCCCAAAGTGCTGGGATTACAGGCTTGAGCCACCGCGCCCGGCCTACAAAACAAATTATTAAACACTGCTGAAAGAAGTCATAGATGACAAAAAAAAAAAAAAAAAAAAATGGAGAAACATTCCATGCTCATGGATAGGAAGAATCATTATTGTTTAAATGGCCATACTGCCCAAAGCAATTTACAGATTCAACACTATTCCAATCAAATCACCAACAACGTTTTACACAGAATTTTAAAAATTATTCTAAAATTCATATGGAACAAAAGAGAGCCCAAATAGCCAAAGGAATCCTAAGCATAAAGAACAAAGCTGGAGGCATCATACTGCCTGACTTCAAACTGTACTAGAAGGCTACAGTAACCAAAACAGCATGGTACTGGTACAAAAAGAGACACATAGACCAATAGAACAGGTTAGAGAACCCAGAAACAAAGCTGCTGGCAAGGACATCACGACAAAGACTCCAAAAGCAACTGCAACAAAAAAATTGACAAGTGGGATCTAATAAAACCAAAGAGCTTCTGCACAGTAAAAGAAACTATCAACAGAGTAAACAGACAACCTACAGAATATTTATAAACTATGCATTCAACAAAGGTCTAATATCTAGGATCTATAAGGAACTTAAACAAATTAGCAAGCAAACACTAGACAACCCCATTTTAAAATGAGCAAAGGACATGAACAGACACTTCTCAAAAGACATACATATGGCCAAGAAACATGAAAAAATGCTCAACATCAGAGAAATGCAAATCAAAACCACAATGAGACACTATCTCACACCAATCAGAATGGCTATTACTAAAAAGTAAAAAAATAACAGATGCTGGCAAGACTATGGAGAAAGCAAATGCTTATACACTGCTGATGGGAATGGAAATTAGTTCAGTCCCTGTGGAAACCAGTATGGAGATTTCTCAAAGAACCTAAAACAGAGCTATTGTTTGACCCAGCAATCCCATTGCTGGATATACACCTAAAGAAATATAAATAATTCTACCATAAAGACACATGCATGCATATGTTTACTGCAGCACTATTCACAATAGCAAAGACTGGAATCAACCTAGATGCTCATCAATGATGGACTGGATAATGTGGCACGTATATACCATGAAATACTATGCAGTCATGAAAAAGAATGAAATCATCTCCTTTGTAGCAACATGGCTGGAACTAGAGGCCATTATCCTAAGTAAATTAATACGGGAACAGAAAACCAAATATTACATGTTGTTATCTCTCATAAGTGGGAGCCAAACATTGAGTACACATGAACATGAAGAAGGGAATAACAGACACTGGGGCCTACTTGAGGGTGGAGAAGGGGATTGAAAAAATGCCTATTGGGTACTATGCTCATCACATGGGTGGTGAAATAATCTGCACACCAAACCCCTGCCACACACAGTTTACCTATGTAACAAACCAGCACATGTACCCCCAAACCTAAAATAAAAGTTAGGGAAAACATATAAATAAAAGTGTTTGGCACCTCCCCACTTGCTATCTTGCTCCTTCTCATCATGCGATGCTCCTGTTCCCCTTTCCCCTTCCTTCATGATTGTAAGTTCCCTGAAGCCCTCACCACAAGCAATGCCAGCACCATGGTTCCTGTGCAGCCTGCAGAACTGTGAGCCAATTAAACCTCTTTTCTTTATAAATTACCCAGCCTCAAGTATTTCTTTATAACAAAGCAAGAATGGCCAAATACATATGAACGTACCACTGTTTGTTAATCCATCTACTCTTGAAGGATATTTGTTTCCAATTTGGTCAATTATGAGTAAAGCCACTATAAACATTTGTGTGAATGTAGGTTTTCATTTCACTTCTGTAAATACCCAAGAGTGAGACTACCTTGTCAAATGATAAGTGTATGTACAGTTTTATATTTTAAAAAAACAAGTAAAACATTTTTGGTTTTTTGTTTTGTTTTGTTTTTTGTTTTTGAGACAGGGTCTCACTCTGTTGCTCAGGCTTGAGAGCAGTGGCATAGTCATGGCTCACTGCAGCCTTAACCTCCTGGGCTGAAGCAATCCTGCCATCTAGCCTCTCAAGTAGGTGGGACTACAGGCATGTGCCATCACATCCAGCTAATTTTTGTATTTTTTATAGAGACAGGGTTTCGTCATGTTGCCCAGGGTGGGCTCAAACTCCTGGGCTCGAGCAGTCTGCCTGTCTCGGCCTCCCAAAGTGTTGGGATTACAGGCGTGAGCCACCAAGCCCGGCCTATAACGTATTTAATGTAAGAAAATGAGAAAACAGAAATGAGAAAAAATAAGAATCATTTATTGCATTTCCTAGAAATAATAGCTGTTTTTTGTTACATAGTCTTCTAGATTTTTCTAGCCATATATGCAAATTATTTTATAGAACAGGCTTATATAGCTAAACTGTGAAATAGCCTTTTTCATTAAATTACATAACGTAAGCATTTTTCCATGTCAACGTATCTATTTTGCTCCTGTATTCCACTTTGTAGATGTGCCAAAATTTCTGTGGTAAATATTTTTATAGCTAAATTTTTGTGTTCATCTTTTATTTCTTTGGGATAAATTCTAGGAAGTAGAATTGCAAGTCAAATGTAATGCAGCTTTTTTAGGCTACTGATACATGTTGCCAGATTGCCCATCTATTACACTTTCTGCCATGAGTAAGAGTACCCTTGTTCCTCTAACTGGTGTGCACTGAGTGTTATCATCGAACACACACACACACACACACACGTGCGCACTCATATAAACATTGCCAATTTGAAAGATGAAAAGTTATCTGTAAGCGACAGTGTATAAAGTGAAAGTTCCTCCTTCCGAATTCGATTCCAGATGTTAACTACTGTTAACCTCTTGTGGTTTTAATTGTTTCACTTGTTTTGGGTTTGGTTTTTTGCTTGCTTGTTTGCTTGCTTTTTTAAGATGGCCAAGATCCATTAGTTGCTTCTTGTTTTTACCTTTAATATCATGCTTTATCAAATCCTTTCTTGTGTCAATGTTATATATTCATCTGTATTTTTTTCTGTTTGTTTGTTTGTTTGTTTTTGAGACGGAGTCTCACTCTGTCGCCCAGGCTAGAGTGCAGTGGCTCGATCTTGGCTCACTGCAAGCTCCACCTCCCGGGTTCACACCATTCTCCTGCCTCAGCCTCCCAAACAGCTGGGACTACAGGTGCCTGCCACTACGCCCGGCTAATTTGTGTGTGTGTGTGTGTGTGTGTGTGTGTGTGTGTGTGTGTTTTTAGTAGAGACGGGGTTTCACCATGTTAGCCAGGATGGTCTCAATCTCCTGACCTCGTGATCCACCCACCTCGGCTTCCCAAAGTGCTGGGATTACAGGTGTGAGTCACTGAGCCAGGCGCTGGTTTAGTTTTTTCATTCACATAATAAGTTAATACCCAAATGTTTCATTCCAGTAAGTTTCAAAAAAATTATAAAACTAGAGGAAATATTTTAGCGAACTCCCATGTACCCATCACCCAGCTTCCCGTTATCAACTGATACCTGATCTTGTTTCACCTATACCCTCACCATTCTCCCTCCAATTATTTTGAAGCAAAACTCAGACATACCACTTTGGGTATCTCTGAAAGATGGGAACTCTTTATTAAGAAGATTTGTACATTTAAATATTTAATCCATTTGGAGTTTATTTTGGTGTTTAGTGTTATTTCAGGTATCTAATTTTATTTCTCTTTTCAAACAGCTAGTTGCCCCAATACCACATATTGAATAATTCATTCTTTTGTCCATTGGTAAAAAATGCTGCCTTAATAACATATTAAATTCTCATGTACTTGAATCTGTTTCTGAATTTTCTGTCCCATTGGTCTTTTTCTCCTTCCCTAGATCATGATATTTGTGTTATTTAATATTTTATGTCACATGAAACTGGAATTAAAGTTTTTTATTATTAATCTAACATGAGAAAAAAACTAGTGGGAAGTTAAGAATATGTACTTAGTTAAATAAAGATGTTTATAATAAGAATGTTTACTTTCTTTCAGCGATCCTTTAATGTGGAGAGCTGTGATTGGAACTAATAATATACATGGGCACCATCCTTATACCAAGAAGATAAAAATTAAAGCAATCATTGTTCATCCAAACTTCATTTTGGAATCTTATGTAAATGATATTGCACTTTTTCACTTAAAAAAAGCAGTGAGGTATAATGACTATATTCAGCCTATTTGCCTACCTTTTGATGTTTTCCAAATCCTGGACGGAAACACAAAGTGTTTTATAAGTGGCTGGGGAAGAACAAAAGAAGAAGGTAATTATGGTCTGAATTTTACTGATACACATTTTCCTGATGATGTGCAGAGGAAGGTCAAATCTTTTATATACAGTCATGTGCCACATAATGACATTTAGGTTAATGACAGACCACACACACGATGGTGGTCTATAAGATTATTTTTCCATATTTTTACTGTACCTTTTTTTTTTTTTTCCCCAGAGTCTCATTCTGTTGCCCAGGATGGAGTGCAGTGGGGCAATCTCGGCTCACTGCAGCCTCCGCCCCCCAGGTTCAAGTGATTCTCCTGCCTCAGCCTCCCAAGTAGCTGGGATTACAGGCATGTGCCACCATGCCCTGCTAATTTTTGTATTTTTAGTAGAGACAGGGTTTCTCCATGTTGGTCAGGCTGGTCTTGAACTCCCAACCTCAGGTGATCCGCCTACCCCGGCCTCCCAAAGTGCTGGGATTACAGGCGTGAGCCACCACGCACAGCATTCAGCTAATTTTTGTATTTTTAGTAAAGACAGCGTTTCACCATGTTGGCCAGGCTGGTCTCGAACTCCTGGCCTCCTGTGATCCACCCATCTCAGCCTCCCAAAGTGTTGAGATTACAGGCATGAGCCACCAAGCCTGGCCTACTGTACCTTTTCTGTGTTTAGATATACAAATGCTTACTCCTGTATCACAGCTGTCTACAATATTGAGTACAGCTGAACAGGCATGTAGCCTAGGAGTAAAAGACTATGCCATATACCCTAGGTGTGCAGCAGACTATACCATCTAGGTTTATGTAAGTACACTCTATCATGGTTACACAACAACAAAATTGCCTAACGATGTATTTCTCAGAATGTTCTCCATCATTAAGTGATGTCTGACTGTTTCTGTGTATTATCTTTTTATCACTTTATGCCATGAGATTGAAAAGTATTATCGGTTCTTATAAAACACTGAAAACAACTTTTTGAGGGATCTGTTTTTCCTTGTGAGAGGGGAGAGAAAATTCTCTTCCAAAGCAGAAATAGAGACTTTCTCTGGTTATACATGCCAAGATACTTGAACGTTAAGATAGAATGATAGTTCCAAGTGTTTCTGTGGTTTGAACTCACAGATTATGAAGCCAGCTCTGCAGCAGGATTCTCTATCTTAAGTAATAAGCTTCAGGCTATGAGGAATCATATTTAGTTTCCTTTTAATTTAATGCCTTGTTTGGTATCAGGCAAGCTGATTGCAATATATTTTTTTAGTGTATATAGGGGCACTAAATGTTAACTGACTGAACTAATGGGAGGAATAAAAACATAGACGACATAGCCTCTTTGTCTTTGGTAATAAGAGCTACCATTTGGGAGTATTTACCATGTTTCAGGTCTTGTTTTTGTTCTTGTTGCTATTTAAAACACTTTTTTTTTTAGAGATGGTGGTCTCACTCTGTCACTCAGGCTAGAGTGCAGTGGTGTAATTATAGCTCACTGCAGCCTCAAGCTCCTGGGGTCAAGCAGTTCTCCTGCTTCAGCCTCTCCAATAGCTGGGACTCCAGGCACGTGCCACCACGCCCAGCTTTTTCAAATGTATTATGTATGTATATATGTATTTTTTTTTTTTTTTAAGAGAGAGGGTCTTGCTCTGTCACCTAGGCTGGAATGCAGTGGCACGATCATGGCTCACTGTAACCTTGACCTCCTGGTCTCAAGTAATCCTCCTGCCTCAACCTCCCAAGTAGCTGGGACTACAGGCATGTGCCACCATGCCCAGCTAATTGTTTCATTTTTTTGTAGAGACAGGGTCTTGCCATGTTTCCTAGACTGGTCTTGAACTCCTGGCCTTAAGAAATCCTCCTGCCTCAGCCTCCAAAAGTGCTGAGATTACAGGTATAAGCCATTGTGCCCAGCTTTTGTTTGTTTGCTTTTAAGAGACAGTCTTGCTGTGTTGCCCAGGCTGGTCTCAAACTCCTGGCCTCAAGCAATCCAGCTGCTTCAGTCTCCTGAGTAGCTGAGTTTATAGGCATGAGCACCATGCCTGTCCTGGGTCCTGTTTTAAATATACTACTTTATCCTATGCCCCCAATATTCCTAAAAGGGAGTTAATGTTATTTTTACCCCATTTAACAGACCAGTAATTGAGAATCTTAGAGATTAAGAAGCTGGGACTCAAATCCAAGTCTCTTTGATTGTAAAGCCTGAATATTTAATAACTACATTAAACTGCTCTTGAGGAAATCATAGTCCAGTTAGGAATATATGAGGTTAAGTACTAAGACTCCTGTTTTCTTCCTATTCCCCACAGGCCCTAGCCATTTAAATAATTGTGGATTATTTAGGTAGGAAGTAGATAAATGTACGAAAGACCTGTGAATTATTATTTTTCTTTTTTTCCATCTGTGAATACTTTTTAAGGAAGATAAGGAAAGCAACATGGTGTAGGGAAAGGAATACGGGCTTTAGAATCACAGACTTAATTCTGAGTCCCAGCCTGCCACCATGTGCTAGCTGAATGACCATGGGCATGTTATTGACTCTTTAATAACAATTACAGCAACAATAATAGAAGCAACTACCATTTGTTTAGGGCCAGGTACTTACTAAAATGCTAAGCATTGCAATGCATTATCTCATTTAATACCCCCAGCAACACTGTAGAAAATACCATAAAATGAATGAGTAAAATAAAGCTTAAAGAGGTTAAATAAGTTGCTTGAACTAATACAAGAACTAAATGATAAAGTCAGAATTCAAGCCCAGTTCTGCCTGTTGCAAATCTCATGTATTTCCCCTATATTACCCTATATTATTAATATTATATATCTATATCTATCTATCTATCTATCTATCTATCTATATATATATATATATATATTTTTTTTTTTTTTCTCTTTGAGAGGGAGTCTTGCTCTGTCTCCAGGATGGAGTACAGTGGTGCAGTCTCAGCTCACTACAACCTTCGCCTCTTGGGTTCAAGCGATTCCCCTGCCTCAGCCTCCCGAGTAGCTGGGACTATAGGCACATGCCACCACACCTGGCTAATTTTTTGTATTTTAGTAGAGACAGGATTTCACCATGTTGGCCAGGATGGTCTTGATCTCCTGACCTTGTGATCCGCCCACCTCAGCCTCCCAAAGTGCTGGGATTACAGGCGTGAGCCTAACATTTCATCTTTCACAATGTCATACCGTTTCATGATCTTTAAAGTGAGAGCAATGATACCCATCATAGAGTTGTTTTGAGAATTAAATTAGTTCTTCAGGACATGGTAGATTACAGGTACATACCAAGGTCCCCACTGAAGACTATTAAAGAGGAAGAATACATAGGTTAAGGACTCGGTGTGAAATAGAAACTTAGAGAAGGAACTGGAACACAGAAGTTAACTTTGATCTTGAGAGTATTTGCCAAAATGTTAACTTGTAATATTGATTTCAGTGGTTTCATGGGCCTTGGAAGGAGATGGTTAAGGAATAAAACTTGTCCAAGTTGGGAAGTAGGGAAAGACACCATAAAGCTGAAGTCTGTCCCATGGCTATACTTTAAAAATGAGTCACACTCATGACCCAGGATATAATTTTTTTCTTTTTTTTCTTTTTCTTTTTTTTTTTTTTTAAGACAGAGTCTTGCTCTGTCACCCAGGCTGGAGGGTGGTGATGCAATCTCAGCTCACTGCATCCTCTGCCTCCTGGATTCAAACAATTCTTGTGCCTCAGCCTCTCGAGTAGCTGGGATTACAGGGGTGCACCACCACACCCAGTTAATTTTTGTATTTTTAGTACAGATGGAATTTTGCCATGTTGGCCAGGCTGGTCTCAAAACTCCTGGCCTCAAGTGATTTGCCCACTTTGGCCTCCCAAAGTGCTTGGACTACAGGTGTGAGCCACTGCGCCCACCTTGTTCTTATATATATAGTATACTTCAAATGTGATCTACGTAGGTTAAAAAAAAGGAGGGGGAAAATACACATGGCTACATTAATCAAAAGAAAGCTGGATTACACCTGTAATCCTAGCATTTTGAGGGGCTGAGGTGGGAGGATTGCTTGAGGCCAGGAGTTCAAGACCAGCCTGAGCAACATAGGGAGAACTCATCTCTACAAAAATAAAAACAAAAAATTAGCCAGGTACGGTAGTGCACGTCTGTAGTCCCAGCTATGTGGGAGGATCACTCGAGCCCAGGAGTTTGAGGTTATGGTGAGCTATGATGGCACCGCTGCACTCCAGCCTGGGTAACAGAGTAAGACCCAATATCCAGACAAAAAAAAGAAGCTGGAATGGAAAAAAGAGAAAGTAGGAATGGCTATATAAATATCAGATAAAGCAGACTTTAGAGCAAAGAAGATTACAAGGATGTGAGACACATTACATAATAATAAAAGGGTCAGTCCACCAAGAAAGCATAGCAATGCTAAACGTGTATACACCAAAAAACAGACATACAGTTTCTTAAAAACATTCATGTGAACATACACTTACCACATGAGCCAAGAATTGTACCCCTAGACATTTATCCCAGAGAAATACAAATGTACACACAAAAAACCTACTTACAGATATTCATGAAAGCTTTATTTGTAAAAGCCAAAAACTAAAAACAACCAAAATGTTCTTCAATAGGAGAAAAATAAACTAGTATAACTTTACCATAGAATATGACTAAGCAGTTAAAAGGTATGAACTATTGATACATTCAACAAGTTAGATGGACAAGGGCATTATGTTGAGTGAAAAGAAGTCAATTTTAAAATGTCATATACTATGATTCCAAGTATATAACAATGAAATGACAAAATTACGCAGACAGAGAATAGATTAATAGTTGCTAGGGTTAAGAAGGTTAGGTAGCAAGAAGGAGATTTTTGTCCTGATGGAATAACTCCATACCCTGTTTTTTTGTGATGGTTTCATGAATCTACACACGCATTGTATTAATGTCAGTCTCCAGTTTTTTTCTTTATTTTTGAGACGGAGTCTCATTCTGTTGCCCAGTCTGGAATGCAGTGGGACGATCTTGGCTCAGTGCAGGCTCCACCTCCCGAGTTCATGCCAT